GTACCGTACCATCAAACACAGCTGGCCACATACAGCTGGCCGCAATATTCAAATAGGGCTTTCAAACGCAAGATCATAACGTGAAGCATCTTGGAAGAATGAGTATGAATGCGAAGTGTATGGGGGAATGCATGTAGGGCGTTAGTGCGGGTTCGAATCCCAGGTTATGCCTGAAAAAAATAGGAGACTTGAAAAATGTATAACATCCTTATGCTTTTTTTGCCTGGATCATCAAGGCGGTAGACGGTGTCGTATTACCCTCGACCGTACCTGTCCCGTACCTGTCCCGTACCGTACCATCAAAGACGGCTGGCCACAATGCATATTCAAATAGGACTTTCAAATGCAAGATCATAACGTGAAGCAACTTGGAAGAATTAGTATGTATGCGAAGTGTATCGGGGGATGCATGCAGGGCGATAGTGCGGGTTCGAATCCCAGGTTATGTCTTTAAAAAAAAAGGAGAAATTTATAAGAATAAACAACATCTCTATGCTTTTTTTGTCTAGGTCATCAAGGCAAAAAAGCATAGCGTAGGGCCCTGAGCTTCCAAGCTCTCTCGTTATTATTATTTATTTTATTTCACCGTCCAAGGGCAGAAGCCGGTGCACAGGAGGGGGCGTTAACCAGCCATGGCAAGAGGAGGAAAAAGAAAGAAAAAAGGAAAGAACATAATAATCGTAAGAAAAGAACTCATCAGCGGGGTTAACAACAACAACAACAACAACAACAACAACAACAACAACAACAACAACAACAACAACAACAACAACAACAACAACAACAACAACAACAACAACAACAACAACAACAACAACAACAACAACAACAACAACAACAACAACAACAACAACAACAACAACAACAACAACAACAAATATCTCTTATCGGCGATGGTGCCATCGTGAGAATAAAGAATTCAATTCAAAAACAACAACAACAACCACAACAACAACAACAACAACAACAACAACAACAACAACAACAACAACAACAACAACAACAACAACAACAACAACAACAACAACAACAACAACAACAACAACAACAACAACAACAACAACAACAACAACAACAACAACAACAATTCGAAGTGATGTAAATCACTTTCCAACTGTTTAACCCACAATCTCACCTTCTCATAAATTTATCTCTTATTGGCGATGGTGCCATCGTGAGAATAAAGAATTCAACAACAACAACAACAACAACAACAACAACAACAACAACAACAACAACAACAACAACAACAACAACAACAACAACAACAACAACAACAACAACAACAACAACAACAACAACAAGCATGGGTGCGGCGAATGAGATTTTCAGTCTTTGACCACTTTGTGGTGGGTCTGATCTACTCACCTCCCCACCACTTTAGGAGCTGCATCTGCACCGAGCCTTGCTCTACAGAGGGTGGTGGCGTTCCTACGGATGCGGAAAACTCGGCCTCCAGCCGTGTCCCACACGAACCGTGAAATGATAATTAATTATTGCTATTACTGCCCTTGGTGAGGTATTGTTGATGAACTGTACATCCTCAGAAGTCAGGGGGCTGCATACCGACAAAATGCCGGCAACATTCTGAAGAAGCATTCACATTCCTTAAGTTTATAGTAGTTCGTATTGAGACTAGAGGGACCCAGCACTGGGATTTCAGGCGGTATGGCCAAATGGGATACTTGACCACAATTGAATATTATTGACGAAAAACCCGTTTTGCACGAATCTATTAAAGTGGATTGACCTTTTGAAATAATGTTTGGCCATTGCCGGAGCAGCCAGACTGCATGCCACACCCCAGGATTACTTGTAGTACAAGTCATCATTCAGTAGTGAGCACTCTAAGTCATCATTCAGTAGTGAGCACTGTCAGACTATAGAGATGGACAGTTCAGGATGTGTTGGTATAAAAACACTGTCCCTGAAGCTACGCAAAAGATATTTCACCTGACGATAAGGCTTGAAAGCATACTAGTGAAACCGAACACTTTCAAGATGTCCGTAAAGAGCCTGAAGTGTGTCCTCTTTTTCTGAATATCATCTCATTCTTGTCTCCAAGTAAGCTGTGCAACAGACGATACTTTAGTAGCGCCTGGTTCTAGCCAGTGGCCACAGCACTTTATTTCATATGTGTGGTGTTCCGTCAGGGCCGCCGGTACGAATCACATGGTGCACTATGTCTTTTGAAAGCCCTATTTGAATATTGTGGCCAAAATGCATGGTAGTGAATGAAAAACCGTAAACAGTTTGGCACCTATGAAATCAGGGGATGGCCCACGCCTGCACCTATGAAATCAGGGGATGGCCCACGCCTGCACCTATGAAATCAGGGGATGGCCCACGCCTGGAAAAAAGAAGTAGAAGTCATTGTACAAAGCATACCACAGATGAAAACATTGGCAGATAGTAAAAGATGGTGAAAGGATCACAGAGATCAAAGAGAGAGGAAAAACTAAAGGGATAGAATAGCAGCCTCGGCAAACAGCAACCTCAGCGGAAGAAGTGGGGGTGTACAAGAACACACACCTAGCACCACGCAGACATATATGGCTGGCCCGCAGCTGAGCGAAACACAGGCGGCAGCGGAGCATAGCGATGACTGCAGAATAGCCCTCACCCGACTTTTCTGACAGCAGCGAGTCTAGCGCTATCCCGTACATGTTCCGAACCGTACCGTTCCGTAAAAGACAGTTGGCCACATATTGAAATAGCGCTTTCAGCGGTAGGATCATAACGTGAAGCAACTTGGTAGAATGTGTATGCGTGCAAAGTGTATGGATAGAATGCGTGCAGGGCGATAGTGCGGACTCTAATTATCCCATGCTGTTTGTTGGGAAAAGAAGAAACAAAGTTCGGAGCACGGCGTGGGGAATCCCCCTAGCTGTACCAACATCCTAGTGTAATTCTACGGTTGTTGTAAGGGTAAGTCAGACTGACCTTTCAGCATCCGGAGGAGATCCGCCACTCTCCGGGATCAAGGTACAGGTGCAGCTCCTGAACCACAGGAACGTGTCTATGTCAGATCACCAGCCGTGATCGAAGCTGTGAAATCACATTGACCGCCTTCATGCATGCAGTATTCAAGCTGATTTGAACATTGAACATGGACACATTGTGCCATTGAACGGCATTGCATGTAAATCTTGCACTGTAACACATGTTCACTGTAACACATGTTCACTGTAACACATGTTCTGCTATGCGGACATATAGCATGTACTCTGTCACTTGTTTTTGTCAAACTGAGGAACCAATTAGATCTACCCTCTCTCGGGTATAAGAATTATTATTATTATAACTGTAGAAAAGAAAAGGACATATGGATACGAGTTAAGAGTAACTCTCCATCACTGTATCTGGATACTATATACAGTCAGAAAGTGCAATAACTAGGCACAAAACTGACAGAGTACTGAGACATTCGACGTCCTGACACCTAGCTTCAACACATCTCCGTAGCGCTAACCGACAGCCTTCCAACTTGGAAGGTTCAAGGTTATGAAAAGACCAATAACTATTAACTTTTATTTTACTAGGGTGTTTCCCACAGACCTATGGTCTTCTTACGGGAGCCCCTAGGAAGGTTATGCATGAGCGGTAATCTGTACAAGTACTGTACGAACAGTGGAAGGCAGCATATTCCACTCTGGCATATTCCACCGGTCAGCAGCGAGATATAACCGATTGACTCGTATCACATACTTCTTTTCTGTCATGTTGCGTGTCCTCCTGCCACTTGTATCTACAGATCATAGCTAGCTTGTTCATGGTGGAGCGGCGGACACCGGTTTGGGTGCCATTCCACCCAGGCCATAAGAAGATAGGATTGCGTGGCCGTGACCTCTTGCTGCCGGATAAGAGGAGAGAGCACCGTCCCAAACGCGAGCCCAACGATCATGAACTACGGTACGCTGCTACTGGGTTTACGTGTTTCTATGATACGTTTTAGTAACGTTCCTCAGTGCACACCGGGTGCCACGGGTGCCACAATTAATAATTCAGGAATGTTTTAGGAGATAAGCGTGTCAGGTTTGCAGGAATGGACTCAGTGTTGTGCAATGTTATTGCATGATCTGATTGTTTAGTAATTGGTGGTGTTAGTGGACAGTGTAGCGTAACTTGTAGTTCCTTGGTCTTTCTCTTTAGTATAGATAAGCTTGTACTCAATTAAAAAAAAGAGTATTCTAACCTATTACTATAAAAGTCCCTGGTCAAATAAATAATAGAACCATCCGCCAATCCGTCCCGACATCCTTACGACACGATCAGAGTATGCAAACTGAGAGTGCTCTAACTGCGGGACACGCGTCAAGCTTTTCACAAAGGCAAAGAGTAGACATCAGTTCTACTACGCGTTGCAAACGTATGTGCCTTGTTTGCTGCCCATTTGTATTTCTGCTAATGACACAGATATCTCTTGCTACATGAACCCGACGCTCCTGTTCCGCAGGCATGTGATAAACAGGATGAGACACACGAACCACGCGCCGAATCACGCCAACCGCAAAATCCAGGCCAGGGACAATGGCAAAGTCCTGATGAAAATCATGAAATGAATTAATTTAGTTAAAAAAATCCAGGCCAAGACTCGGGTCGGGAGCAGGATCCAGAAGCAGAACGGAGCGGGTATGCGATCATGTTCAGAACGGGCGACCAAGCTGTCAAGCAGCTGTAGAAACTCACTTGGCATTGCCTATGGCACAGCAGACAGGTGACTGTACTGTTTGGCGCTAATCCCATGCAATGGTGGTTGTAAACGGCCCTGGACCTTGCTAGACTCATATAATTACTATATTGTGTGTTATGATTATAAGCATGATGGGCAGTTGCAGTATCATTGCCCAGAGACTGTTCACTATAGAGGCTTGCAAACCACGGCAGCAAGCAGTAAGCATGCAAGTTATTTACCCTGCCGAGTGTGTGTGTGGGCTTTTACGATTTGTTTAAGAAAAATTGACATGTGGAGATACAGTAAGTGTGGTAGACAGCACCTCACGGCATATCACAGCACTTCACGGCATATCACACAACGAAAACTTTACTGCAAATCCTTTCTTTGCTCGTCGTTCTATAGGTTCCGATTTTGTATAATTGGTTTTACCAGTGTTCTCTGGGTGTTAGCGGCCGTCGTGAGTTCCCTTCGGCAACGGCCACGATAATTTACTTTTACTTTTTTTGTACTATCTAGCGGTGTGTTCAACTTCATTCTTTTTTTACTACCCGTATTTTAGCTATTAGGCCAAACTAAAGAAGGTGTGTGGTTCGACTAACATGGACATTTTTTTTACGGGCGGGCGGGCGGTTTTTTTTTTTTTTAATATATTTTTTAGTACATGTAAATACACTGTATACGCGTATCGAGTAGACTCTACTACCAGCACAAGGCAGCAGTCGTACCACTCACTGCACTGCACTGCAGTACAACTACAAGTACAAGTCAAGTCCAAAAGGAGCCGCCTGCGTCCGCAGACTCACGCCGCACAGCACGTAGACGTGGACGTGTTCAGTCCACGTACGTACGTCAGTCACACGACAGCCCGCCGAAAAAAAGTTACGGTCGGGCTGAAATTGTACGGTCGGTCGGGTGAGTCGAACCACACACCTTCTTTAGTTTGGCCTTATTATTTTATTTTATTTCTTTCCTTTTTTTTACTCTAGTTATCTTGTGAGAATGCGCTTTTTCTTATAGGATGGCACGACTTGCGCGTCTCTCCCGAGACCTAAACACAGTGCATGCAAATTGCATTGCCAAAGGCTGCTACTGAGGCATGGGATACTTGTGTGCGTCTGTTCGTATTTGTTCAACTGCATTTTTGAACCACACTTTCTTTCATGTCATGTGTTCATGCCATCGTGGCCTAGGCCGCAGTATGGCCACTAGCCGGTTATCCAAACTCTCTTGCTGATCGTACAGTCATGCACATGTATTTGCGTGCATGGTTACACTATGATGCTGACATCTATTCTTGTGGGTGTGCATATTGCATGATTTTATTTTATAATTGACTGTAATTGCGGTCTTCCATGTTTCTCGGCGATTTGCGTCACGTTATGAATATGAATCTCAGTGCTGGCAAGAGTGACAAACCTTGCTATTCTCAATCGTGTTGCTCCCCAAAACCAGCTACACACACACTGAACAAGCATTGCATGACACTATGACCAGATCACCATAGCAACGCAAAAGAACACAGAGCACCAGCATGATGTTTTGATATTGGGAATCACACACCAGCTCAATTCTCAAGCCCAAAAATTGATGAATACAAAACACAGAGCGACGCAACAAGAGATCATTCGGCAACCAAACCAACCTGGGTCTAATGCACTGAATAGTCCTGAAATACGCAGATCACACAAAGCAGTGCAAGCACATACTGTTACAAGGTACATGCCAGGGAGTCGTATAGACCCGGGAGGCGACACGAGGCCTTCCGGGCCGACTATGATTGACTCGCGGCACTTTCTCCCACTTTTCCCTCAGATATCCCCGGTGCGCGCCCTGAGTTATAAACCAACTACTCCGCGTACTTGGGAGTACGAGTGTGCACTCCGGGGGGAACAGACTCGTGCACAATCGTGGGAAATCGTAGCTCGAAAAGAAGAAGAAGAACGAACTACTTTTCCAAGTTACATGACAGTTAGTTGCATTTGATGATCGTGATGGAGGCAGAGAGTGCTGCTGATCGCGATCCGGGTCAAGAAGTACCTCCTGATCCTAAGGAAACTTCAGCTGATGTACGTTCTCTTCGCGTGAACGCTCAGTCTGTGTTGGCTTGGGCCACAGGTATGGTTTGAATTCTAATTTTCTATGTTATTATATTTTTCAATTTGTCTTGAAACTTTCGAGCGGCTTCTGATCTGGTGCTCGTACTGCGTAATAAGTTTGCGAATAATCATGAATTGGAAGAACTACTTGTAGGTTGATAGAGTGCAGTACTTGTTCAACGGTTTCTACAGAGCGTTCCGAATCCCAGCCCCTATGGACCCACAGAAGGCAAGAAGCTTGCGTTGCAAAGCTGCTGTCCCGCCTGACTGCGGAGAAAGAAGACTCTTTCATGGTTGTTCTTCTGCCGCTGCTGACGTCCATCAGCTCTGTCCTGCTTCCAGCAGCAGATAGGCCTGGATTTCAGCGAGTCGTGTCCCAACTCCGGTGTGAACGATTTCCCGACGTCAAGACGAAGTGGGGTCAAGTCATGGGTGTTGCAAGGAAGCTGTCACAAGATGATCCAGTATTAAACGGTGGGTTTTGTAAAGCTGCTCTAACATTTGGATACTATTAATTATAACATTAAATTTGTATTCACGAAGCCATGCCCAAGACGTGCGGCATAGCGTGCGTTCGTGTGTATGTGTGTGCGTGTGTATGTGTGTGTGTGTGTGTGTGTGTGTGTGTGTATGTGTGTGTGTGTGTATGTTGTGTGTGTGTGCGCGTGCGCGCTTGTGTATGTCGTAAAATCCCGCCAGAGCGCCCCCACCTCCGCAACCATTCGAGTAGATCCATTTGGGGAGGGGCGGATGGGCGAGTCCTGCTTGCCGCTTTCAGTACTACATGAAAAAGTACTCACCCTACGAAAACTGTGCGTGCGTCTCGTACACCCACCAAAAGTCGAGAGCTGGGAGCCGTACAAGCCCATCAAAACCCTAGGGTGTGTGCAATCCCTGGTCAAGAGGGTGGGAACTGTTGCATACATTTCCAACCAGGTCGAGGACGCGTCTGCAGTACAGTACGGCCTCGCACTTCACATAGTCATACGAGGATACAACCATTGTCACTTCCGTGACAAGAAGTCGGAGAGACGGGGCGAACTGGCGGGATTTTACGGTAATATAGAGATTCCGCATAACGTAATTACGTTAGTAAAAAACGTAGTCGATCTACGGAAAGTCTTACGTAAACTGCATGCGCATCTGTGTTCCGCCATACGGAGTTTTCAAATCAAGCAGCTGCCCTTGGCAACTCCGAATGCGGCAGTGTACAACCAGATCGACCTGGGGAGAGAGTCTTAAATCTGCACCCCAATCCACTTACGGACCAGCTACGTTATCAGAGCCCTATGTACGTACTCTACGTAGACAACTTTCCGTAAGTGGAGTGCAAACTCGCGAATTCACGGGTTTTTCCCGCCCATTAACGTAAAGTTGCTCAACTTTACGTACGAGAGGTTCTGCACTACGTAAAGTTGCTCAACTTTACGTAGTGCGGAACCTCTCTATTGGTAGACAAGATAACGCAATGACTCGCTTCAACCAAAATATTAAATCTCTCATTTTTGTGTATTCTTCCTCAGATAAAGCCGTCATGTCACCTACTTGGGCTAGCTTGATTGATGCTTTGGCAACACCTCACCAGGAGAACAAGAAGGACTTGGTATCGACTGTGCCGTCAGGTCATCGTCAACTACATGATGTAGCTATCGATGACCTAAACACACAGGTGATACGGTACCACGGAGGTTGGTGCGTAGTAGCTGTCCGGAGGGAGCTGCAGGCATCGTCTGGCGCGGAGGCTTTAGCGCTGTTGCCACTCATCAAGTGCTTCGGGGAAGATGTTGGTACTCAGCACCGTCCCTCCCTTGAAACCTTTGATACAGTGGTCCAATTGTCCCAGCAGCGCAGAGTTCAAGGTCAGTGAATGTAAAACTTTCCTGTTTGCAACTTTCCCTCACATTGACGAACTAATGTTGTGTTTCGCATTATGAAAGCAATTTGTTTAGAATATGAAAAGACACTTGGATATGAGTTATGAGTAACTGTCCACTACTGGAACAACATAATAGGCAGTCAGAAGATGGGATAACTTAGCACGAAACTGGAAGACTACTGAGACATTCAACGACTGCTTATTATCTTGTTGCAGTAGTGGATAGTTACTCATAACTTGTGCCCGTGTGTCTTTTCATATTTTACATTTAATATTGGCTCAGTATCCGAGTTTAAGGTAGCTAGAAAGAAACTAAAAAAACATGTTGTGGTGAACAGTCACTATTCTTAGTTTTACAGGTATCTTGCAATTGGTAGAGTTGATTTTTCGAAATACGCGAAACATTTCGGGCTGTCTTAGTTGCTTGCGGTTTTCCCTTGGTATGTCGTTGCTGTTTTGATTTGACTCGCGTTCCAAATGCGAAATGTTTTTATTTATTGATTTCTCATTCATTGCGCGGCCGAGGATGCAAAGCATTCCGGGCCAATTTCTCGTAATGGCCCATATTGAGCAAAATAAGTGGCAATTTTAGCAAAAAAAACGTCCAATTTTAGGGTGCTTATTACTCCACAATATCGATGGTGACCAGCTACCGCATACGTCACATTCAAAATAATTTGGGCCACAAAATGAATAAATTGCCTAATTGTTGGTATTGTATATGTTTTGTTTCATTCACTCATCATTGTTAGGTACTGCTGCACCGGTAGATCACGGGTATGCCTCTGCACCACCAACCGTTGAGAATGAGGAGTACAAGCACACATTTGTGCTTTTGCCAACAGCGTTGCCATTATTCAACCTGCTTAATGTAATTACTGAGAAGCAATTCCCAGTTATTTTGGCACAACAGAAGGCCAATGCCATTCCAGCCATGAGCCATCACCTCGTCCATGACAAGAGTGTGAGGGAAGCATTTGCCAACATTGTCTCTACAACAGAGTGTGCCGGGCTGCTGGATAGAATTGTCTACTATTTCCTCAAAAGCAAGCACAAGCAGCTCCTGCGGAAGTATGAGCTGCAGCCCCAGCAACGCTCCATGGCACTCAGATCTAGTTTGCGACTGTCAGCAAAAGGAAGCAGCACACACCAGCAAGAAGAGTCAGCATTGGATTTCAGGCGGAAAGTTGATGAGAAGAAGTTCGAAGAAGTGGTGTCCATGCTATGCAGGAGCGCTAATATGTCGTCACTGCTAGATAAAACAACTGTCGTTGGTTTGCAGGCTATCCTAGCACACCTTGGCGTCAGTAGTAGCGGCAGAAGCAATAAAGCAGATCGAGTGTCACGCATTGTGGAAATAATCAAGACCAAAAGAATGGAGCACAACACTGGGGAAGCCGCCAGCACTTCTACACAGGTAAGCACAACGGTGTTAAGACGCTAATGAAGATGTACTGGCGCAAGCATTTGATGCCGGCAGGGATGCAGATGTACCCGTGCATGCATTTGATTTCTGTGGCAATGGCATGTTAAGCGCTGCAGAGGAAAGATTCTTCGGGATAACATGGTGTGGAGCAATGCGTTAGAGTGATATAATTTGCGAGTGTCTGCAAAATAAAGCAGCGCACATTAGCAAGAAGATTCAGCATTGGATTTCAGGCGGAAAGTTGATGAGAAAATGTTCGAAGAAGTGCTATGCAGGAGCACTAATATGTCGTCACTGCTAGATGAAACGACCATCATTGGTTTGCAGGCTATACTAGCACACCTTGGCGTCAAGATCAGTATCAAAACTAATAAAGCGGATCGAGTGTGACGCATTATGGAAATAATCAAGACCAAAAGAATGGAACACAACACTGGGGAAGCCGCCAGCACTTCTACACAGGTCAGCACAACGGTGTTAAGACGCTAAAGAAGATGTACTGGCGCAAGCATTTGATGCCGGCAGAGATGCAGATGTACCCGTGCATGCGATTGACTTCTGTGGCAATGGCATGTTAAGCGCTGCAGAGGAGAGATTCTTCGGGATAACATGCGTGTGGAGCAATGCGTTAGATTGATAACCATAGGCCATGGCTGTCATGTTGTTGTTTGCACCACCCATTCCACGTTGCAGGCTAAAGTAGCTTTCCACGAAATCTTGGCTCAGTCGATAAGGCTTCAAATAGAGTTGGAGGTCTTTCATTTCCTCATCACTTGACATGAATTGTAGCAGTCCGGTGAAACCATCAGTAGTCACGCGCAGGTCGGTGTGTAGCTGGTCTGATATGAATGACTTTGCCCGGCCTTTCGACTGCTGGTGCCAGTTCTCAAACCATTGTAATGTTGTCTTCAGTAGTCTAGGCAGAGCATCGCGTGGGTTGGAAATTTTGTCGTGAGATGAGAATACATTGATAATATCTCTGACCTTTTCAATGTACTGTCGAGTCGAAGTTGTTGCCTCACGATCATAGCGGCGCATGTCTTCTTCTACTCTGCTATTGAAAATGTCGTACGCGAGTCGACTGCTCATACGAGAGAATGAAGTCAGCCACACATGGTCCCGTTTCAATGGTGTGTACTGGAGCTGCCTGTGCTGGTCACGGTTGTACACATCCTTTACATGTGCCCAAAGAAGTGGCTTGCCGTTTATTTCCAGGAGTCTGGGACACCATTGTTCGTATCCGCTTTTGGACAAATTATTCCGAAGCTTCTTAATTAGATGAGTTGGATCAGACATAAAAAATATGGGCCAGCCGGAGTACGGGTTGTGGGAGGACCCTTTGATATCTCCCTCAACTTGCAAGTTGTCCAATATGAATTTCCTGTTGCTCGCCGCTCCATCACAACATATTAGTAGCACAGTGAACCCAAATGTGTGGAGTTGCCGCACTCCACTCCACACCATATGGCTAATATTGTCTGCTGTCGGATTTTTGGTGAAGAAATAAGCGCAAGGATAGGTAAACGTGCCGAAGATGGACTTGAAGTGAAATTGAAAGACGTGTGTGGCTACTGCATGTTGTGCATCCTTACTGTCATCTCCTCCTGATTCCATGTCAACAAAGCCAATCAGTTGGTTGCCGCTGCAGTCCCAGACAAGACCTTCTTTTATTTTTACTTCGTCGAAGTACAGGCCTCCGATGTGTGTACGATCCGACTTAGCATTGTTGGCGTTGAGGAATTGCTCGTACAGGTCCCGCATGTTTGCCAGTGCTTCGTCTTGCCAGCCAGTTTTCGGCTGAGTAAAGTTCCTGTACCTCAGCAAGGTACGTCCGCTAGGTAATCTCAATAGTCCGCTTGACCTCATGGCCTCGTAAGATGTTTGGGATTTCGAATGCTGCCGGAGGCACCACCTCAGCACCACTGGATGCCAACGCATCTGTTCCGGATTGGTTGTTAGTGCCTTCGCTTGGTCTGTTAGCATTGGAATTATATTGGCATCTTCTGTCTTTCCCGTGTGTCGCCATATGTGAGTCTTAAACAGTGCTCTGTTTTGAAACTCCTTGTGTGTGCAGGATGCCCATTCACACTTGTAGCGAGGATTCAGCTGTGTGGAAGCTTCATCGATGTGGATGTGAGTCTGCCTGATATGATTCTGGAGTTTTTCAATGGTGTCAAAACTTTCATTACAGGTTGCCCATTTGCAGGAAGGATTGTTTGCCTTAGACTTTATCTGGTCGATACCACCTTGCATGTTCTTAAATATTGTGGAGCAATCCGGGTGTAGCTCGTCGATGCTCATCATGTTTCGTTTCGACTGCCGTAGGCGTTCGTTATCGGCGGATAGACGCTTGATAGTCTCGGCACTCTCTCGTTGGGCAGCAATAAAATCTGCTCTGCTCAGGTGAATGTATGCTGTTCTGCTGCCTGGCGGGGTATGGTTTTTGTGGCGCGATAGACCGCTACGCAATGTGCAGTCCATGGCCTTGCAGGCCGCACAGATCACCGGGCCATTTTTCGGCAGCAGAAGTGGACAAACAACAGTGCGAACGCACCGGCCAGGCATAGTATGCTCCTCCAGTCTCGCCACACACTCGCCAGATTGATTGTGGAAAATTCCGCCGTCCAGTCGCTCTTCAATCCAAGTTTTGTACTTAGCGTAGTTGCAGCCACCACAAATCACTCCATTCTCAAGTATTGACATCACCCTATCAAGACTGTCCATACAGTTCAGTAACTCGGGGGCATCTGGGTACACCTTTTTCAATTCAACAACCGTGTCATGTACCTTGACTTCGTACGACTTTTGTTCTCCATCCACTAACACGGTGCACACCGGACATTGTAGTGAAGTTCCGTAGTATTGCAGCACCAGTCCCTCGCCACATTTAATTGCTCTCCAGAGTTCTGCCCTGTATAGAAAATGAAATAAAACAAAAGGCACATTCTTAAAGGCGAAAAATGATGATCTATCTTTATACTTGCACTGAATCCACAATGCACGTTGGACATGAGTTTCAACTTTTCTATTTTTCTACTAGTAAAAATAACTGCATTCCTGAAGATGGGCCTTGCCCGAAAATTCGAATGATTTAATATCTCTTTTTCTTTTAGTGATTGGTGTAGCCCAGAGACCGTTTTGAGAGTGTCGTGAAGATGATTTTTATGGATATAGTGGATGGCTACAATGTCTTCGCACTTCGAGAAAAAATGGGACTTCAATTAAAAAATTGTCTTCACGCTACGCATTGACTTACAGCAATAATAGATGCGTGTACTAGAAATTAATGTAACTTAAAAATGACTTCTTACATGGAAACGTGCTTGTAGATCTCTGCCATGCCGAAGTTGCATTCAGTAGAGGTAGTAGTCTCTGTCAAACGTGTTTGCCATTGGCTCACGGCACTTGTAGCAGCTGATCGGACGATGCAAATGGACTCCCAGTCCACATTAGCTGGTTGAGATGCCTTCGAAAATATACCGTGGCACGCACTTTCCACTGTTGTTACATAGGACCGGAAGTGTGTTGTCCTGAGCTTGCCACGATACTTTCCGATCTGTCCATCTCCTCTCTTTGTTCGGTTGAAATAATTGAAGAGCTGATGGCTGGCAACTTGCTGGTCAGCTGGCAGGAATAGGTTTGCAAGTGTTGCTGCTGATTTGTACATTGAATTGCCGGAGTGACGTGGCCTCGAGTAGTCTGCCCCAGCAATGAACTGAAGAGTAGCGTACGTAATGAATTCTCTTGTTGACGGTTCATCGGTCCCTCTCCATGTCACCGGACTAGACTGAATTACTGGCGTCCCTTCATCGGCCTGCTTTTCGCCGCGAACTTCATGAGTCTTGAAATCTGGACCCAACATAATAAAAGTGGGACTCAATTGTGCAGTTCAGACGATAGATTGATGCAATAAGGGCTCATCGCAGAAGTGTTTAGTCATACCTGAAACGAACATCATTCATTTCGTACTCGGACCCCTCTCAACCCTCCGAAATGAATACAGCTTGCTATGCTGGACGACGAAAATCGCATGCATGTACATGTGTATGCATAGCGTTAGTCGACTTGAGATTTTAGCTCCCCCCCCCCCCCCCCCCCCCCCCCGCCATGAACGATGTTCGTTTCAGGGACAACCAAAAACTTGTGTGACCACTGACTTTCTTTCTCTGTTATCAAGCAGCAGGGCATAGATTAACGGCCGGACATGTTCCGGCCATTTTCGGCCACTGACTGAACGTTTTCAATTTCACCGGACATAGTGTCCGGTCAAAAAGTAAAAAAATAGCAGCGACCTTTCGACCTTTTTATGCAGAGTTGGGCATTCTTCGGAGCTTCGTGCCAAATGCGACTTGCATATCGTACAACTAACACGTACACCGTAGTCTCAGGCGTAGACTTCACTATATTTACTTGATCCGCCTGTAGCAACGCGTTGTTGCTACAGTCAATTCACACATGTCCGAGCATGTCCGGACAGATTTCAAAACGGAAGGACATTTGTCCGAGCTAAATGAAATCCTTTTAAGGATTTCATTTAGCTCGGACAAATGTAAAGCTATGCCCTGAGCAGTATGCATTATTTGTAACAGTAATTACTTGTCTGTGTCATGTGCATACATTGTCTTATTTCCTTTTTCAGGCTACAGCACAATCAGGGGAATGAAGTGAAGACTCCACTGCAACTGTACTTATGGTTGATGCATATGGCGGTAAATATACACCTGCCAACACACGCTCTCTAAACTGCAAAGTAATTTTGGCACAGAGCTCCCCTGCTCACCACCACCACCATCAGTTCGCGCCTGGCGCCTAGTTGATGCATGGTTAGTGGTATCCGACATAGCAGGCTGGTACATCAGGTAGCGCATGGCGCATAGAAGATGACACGGCAACGACATAGCTTGATTGCGACGTACATTTCGTCCCCGCTGGACTCATCAGGCAATCTTCTTGTTGGATGTCTTCACACGGAGCTTGACTCGGGAGAATGAAGTTGAGGACTCCACTGCAACTGTACTTATGGTTGATTCGAATGGTATTTACCGCCATATGAATCAACCATAAGTACAGTTGCAGTGGAGTCTTTAACTTCATTCTCCCGAGTCAAACTCCGTGTGAAGACATCCAACAAGAAGATTGCCTGATGAGTCCAGCGGGGACGAAATGTACGTCGCAATCAAGCTATGTCGTTGCTGTGTCATCTTCTATGTGCCATGCCTTATCTGATGTACCAGCCTGCTATGTCGGATACCACTAACCATGCATCGACTAGGCGCCAGGCGCGAACTGATGGTAATGGTGGTGGTGAGAAGGAGAGCTCTCTGTGCCAGAATAACTTTGCAGTTTAGAGATCGTGTCTGGGCAGGCGTGTATTTACCGCCATATTGCCTTGTGTGTATTTGCCACCATATGAATCAACCATAAGTACATTTGCAGTGGAGTCTTCAACTTCATTCTCCCGAGTCAAGCTCCTTGTGAAGACATCTAAGAAGAAGATTGCCTGATGAGTCCAGCCGTGACGAAACGTACGTCGCAATCAAGCTATGTCGTTGCTGTGTCATCTTCTATGTGCCATGCGCTACCTGATGTACCAGCCTGCTATGTCGGATACCGCTAACCATGCATCGACTAGGCGCCAGGCGCGAACTGATGGTGGTGGTAGTGGTGGTGATGAGAAGGAGAGCTCTGTGCCAGAATAACTTTGCAGCTTAGAGAGCGTGTCTGGGCAGGCGTGTATTTACCGCCATATTGCCAGGTGTGTATTTACCACCGTATGAATCAACCATGCGCTACCTGATGTACCAGCATGCTATATCGGACACCACTCACCCTACATCCACTAGGCGCCAGATGTGAACTGATGATGGTGGTGGTGGGAAGGAGAGCTCTGTGCCAGAATAACTTTTCAGTTTAGAGAGTGTGCATGGACAGGTGTGTATTTACCGCCGTATGAATCCACCACAGTACGATCAGCTGACGTTATAACTTATAAGGATGATCCCGTGCAGCGATATGATGATATTTTTCAGTCTTTTCTAAGGACTCTCCACTGCAGCGTTTTCTTTCCACTCGAATATGGAAAATGCGGAATGTTGTTAGCGCTGTGTTGGGGCAGCTATTGTTGACTTTATTCGGAATTAATTCTGTTGTATTTGCACACATTCCTGAGTGCATTGTATTAGCATCCAATTTGTGTTATCTGTGCGAGCTTCTAACCTTGTGAACATTCACCGAAGGTTTGGTTGGTGGCGCACAAGATCTTCCGGGATGGCTCTTGCGGGCTCTCAGCCCTGCGTTTACTGCATAAAACATGGCAGAACAGTTCAAGTTTCAATTTAGGCCATTTCCTCACTCTGACTCCCAATATTTCACATGTGTAATAATTATAAGTATTGTAGATCACTAGGACAGCGCCATTTTGTTAGCCAATGTTAGTCCTGAAGAAAAATTGACTTCATTGCCCTAAAGGTGGGAACAAATTGGGACTATTTGTGAAGGAAAACTTTGGAAAATGTAATTTCGAATGTAAGTCATTTCGTTTATCTGGATTCGTCCAATATTTCACAAATGTGCAATATGAGTATTGTAGATCACTGGGACAGGGCAACTTAGTCTGTCAAAGTTAGTCATGAGGAAAAAAATTACTTCATTGCCCTAAAGGTGAGAACAAATTGGGACTATTTGTGAAGGAAAACTTTGGAAAATGTAACTTCGAATGTAAGTCATTTCGTTTATCTGGATTCGTCCAATATTTCACAAATGTGCATTATAAGTATTGTAGATCACTGGGACAGGGCAACTTAGTCTGTCAAAGTTAGTCATTAGGAAAGAATTTACTTCATTGCCCTAAAGGTGAGAAAATATTGAGGCAATTTGTAAAGAAAGGATTACCTCATCTTAGGTGGTCAAAGTGCCTCAGAGTTCGAGTGGCAGTGCAAAGCCAGTGAGTAAGCCAGTACAGTGAACAAGTGAACTCCTCAGCGATGGCCACAGATGGCTGTATTTCGGCAATGGAGATCGAAAGTCTGACCACAATTGTTCTCGAAAGGACGAAGACGACGATTTCTCGCTATGTACGGATTTCCCGCCCGCTATGAGTATGACCTATGTACGGACTTGTCCCACACCGAGCAGGTCGTAATATTTTGAATCGTTGAGTCGATCATGGTTGTGCACAAGTGATGCGCGTGTCGCCTCCCGGGTCTATACGACTCCCTGGTACATGCATTGCAGAACAAAGTGTAACCAAAGATACACGGGGTTATAGCTGCACACTCGTGCATGTGCTCGCTCAGCCCAAGAACACGCATGATGATAGAAATAATCCGGGGGAAACACGCTAGCACCGAAGTAAGCATCAAGACGTAAATAGTCATCATCACAAGCCCTAAGGCCGTCGGGGCGTCCCAGAGCAAGTATGAACAAGCGACCGCCATAAAAATCGATCGCGTGCAGCAGCGAGCAGGGACTGCACGTCCAGTGCAGTCCATGAAATAATATTATCAAGCCATGACATTCTGGGCCTGCCTCGGCCACGACCTCCAGCAACACAACCCTGAAGAACAGTCAATGACAAACAGCCGGAACGAACAATATGACCAAAAATTGCAATTTCCTTTTACGAACAGAAACAATAAGTGGGACTTGTTTGTGAATACTATTTATTTCCTCTCTAACAGACACATTCGTCCGTAAATAGTGCAGCTCTGAAAAAGTAAAAATTACATTGACATGTACATTGGTGTGCCGAGTAGTATCATCCTTGATTACCCATCCAACCAAGACGTTATCAGGTCCCAGGCGCCGAGATTGCACGCCGAATGTGAAGTGCATCTAGCCTTGAACCTGTTGCACAAGGCACACACATATGACAAAAATGACATCCACTCCGATTATTTCCAGAGGCCAATCATAACAGAACACAGAAATGAAACCACGGGCTCAACAAAGTACATGTAAACGCAAAGGAAATTAGTAAAAATAATCCATGAAGTGCTATTTTAATTCCAGCGCTGACTTGCAGTATGGCGTCGTGGCCCGATACCCGCTGAGCATAGACACAAACTCCATTTGACAGGGCAAGACATACTATTTTGGAATAAAGTCATAAAATACAGCATTCCAATGACATGATGGACACCTCGTGCAAATGCGTGGTCTGTTCATCCGGCCAACTCGGCCACGCATGAGAGTGTGTGCATGTACGCGCGCGCGCTTGCACACACACCATGTATTCGGTGCGTATGGCGTACCTGTTGCGGAGATATGAAGATGGAATCATTATCATGTTACATGTACATGTACAGTGTATGTTTGAGCGTAAAGTAAATTTTATTTTATTCCCGTAGCTATGCAGAAGACGTTACTTCAGTAACGTCTGGCGCTAGCCAGGGTCCACACAGCTTTAATTTGGTATTTGTTTGTTTGTGTGTTTGTTTGTTTGTTTGTGTCACGCCTGGCGCTATCCCGTATCTGTCCCGTATCTGTGACTACAAAGGCTCTACAGGATTGTACATAACAGCTGTCCACAATATTTGCGGGCTCCTGTATCTGTCCCGTACCGTACCAATATTCGTCGTATTATGCACACGACTCCCTGATGTAGAGTGGGATTTGGAAAGAAATAGGGAGACGAGGAGGAAATTAAATTAGAATAGACGCCGATTAGGTGATAGGATGCGTCAGCATAAACATACTTTGGAAGAGAGATCCCGTCGTCTCCAAAATAAGCGTGAACGAGCGATTCAGTGCCGGTCACAGGAAACGTCGGAAGAGAGATCCCGTCGACTCCAGAACGCCCGTGATCGGTAGAGTCCGGCGGTACCAGGCAACGTCAGGACAGACATCCCGTTGAGTCCAGAACGCCCGTGATCGGCAGAGTCTAAGCCGGTCCCAGGAAACGTCAGGACAGACATCCCGTCGAGTCCAGAACGCCGTGATCGGCAGAGTCAGCGCCGGTCCCAGTAAACGTCAGGACAGACATCCCGTCGACGCGCAGAAAAACTAAATCTGCAGCCTCTTTTGCCGTCGAACAGGATACGTATTTATATAGGAGACTGTAAAGTTATGTAATGTCCAAATTTCGACGTGAGCAGCAGGTCACTGGCGTTGATTTTTTCGACGTGCGAGCCAAATAACGCGAGCTGAACTTTCGCGTCGCAGACATCCCGTCGACGCGCAGAAAAACTAAATCTGCAGCCTCTTTTGCCGTCGGACAGGATACGTATTTTAGGAGACTGTAAAGTTATGTAATGTGCTCCACAGGCAACCATGCATTCGGCGTCGTCATTGGCTCAACAGGTCAATGTAGATGTATTACTACAAAAAGGCCAGAAAATCCGATTCCTGTATTAAAATCAACTAATGTTCGCTGGCGAATATAATTTCGCTGATTTCGCCGCTTGGTACCAACCGGCCAAAGTAAATCGCAGGCCAACGTTTGTCATATAGGCAAATGATGCATGATTGAGCAATGGATGCATGTGAGAGCAAAAATACCGATCGATTTCAAATTTGACGTGAAACTGCGCGCCACGTCGGAAATAACGTGCATCTTAACCTCTCTAATCGAGAGGTTTCTATTTCTCATCGGCCAAAATTTGTTGATTTACAATATAAGGAGATAAAAATTAAAGAAGGAGCAAAACAAAAGTAGATGATTATTAGAGAAACAACAATCCGCAATAAATTCTGCAAATACTTTTGCCTAACTCATAATATTCAAACCGATTGAAACGTGTTTGCAATACAGTGAT